CTATGCCAGCAAATTAGATAATCTGGAAGAAATGGATGCATTCCTAGAGATGTATCAACTACCAAAACTGAACCAGGAAGAAATAGAAAACCTGAACAGACCTATCACCACTAAGGAAATTGAAGCAGTCATCAAAAATCTCCCAACAAACAAGAGCCCAGGGCCAGATGGCTTCCCAGGGGAATTCTACCAAACATTTCAAGAAGAATTAATGCCTATTCTTCTGAAACTGTTCCAAAAAATAGAAACGGAAGGAAAACTTCCAAACTCATTTTATGAGGCCAGCATTACCTTGATCCCAAAATCAGACAAAGACCCCATCAAAAAGGAGAAATACAGAGCAATATCCCTGATGAACATGGATGCAAAAATTCTCACCAAATTACTAGCCAATAGGATTCAACAGTACATTAAAAGGATTATCACCAGGACCGAGTGGGATTTATTCTTGGGCTGCAGAGTTGGTTCAACATCCGTAAATCAATCAATGTGATCCAATACATTAATAAAAGAAAGAACAAGAACCATATGATCCTCTCAATAGATGCAGAAAAAGCATTTGACAAAGTACAGCATCCTTTCTTGATTAAAACTCTTCAGAGTGTAGGGATAGAGGGTACATACCTCAGTATCATAAAAGCCATCTGTGAAAAACCCACAGCTAATATCATTCTCAATGGGGAAAAACTGAGTGCTTTCCCCCTAAGGTCAGGAACACGGCAGGGATGTCCACTATCACCACTGCTATTCAACATACTGTTAGAAGTCCTAGCCACAGCAATCAGACAACAAAAAGAAATCAAAGGCATCCGAATTGGCAAAGAAGAAGTCCAACTCTCACTCTTTGCAGATGATATGATACTTTATGTTGAAAACCCAAAAGACTCCACCCCAAAACTGCTAGAACTCATACAGGAATTCAGTAAAGTGGCAAGATATAAAATGAATGCACAGAAATCAGTGGCATTCCTATACACCAACAACAAGACAGAAGAAAGAGAAATTAAGGAGGTCGATCTCATTTACAATTGCACCCAAAACCATAAGATACCTAGGAATAAATCTTAGCAAAGAGGCAAAGAATCTGTACTCAGAAAACTATAAAATACTCATGAAAGAAACTGAGGAAGACACAAAAAATGGAAAAACGTTCCATGCTCATGGATTGGAAGAACAAATATTGTGAAGATGTCAATGCTATCTAGAATAATCTACACATTCAATGCAATCCCTATCAAAATACCATCAACTTTTTTCAAAGAAATGGAACAAATAATCCTAAAATTTGTGTGGAACAAAAAAGGCCCCGAATAGCCAGCGGAATGTTGAAAAAGAAAAGCAAAGCTGGTGGCATCACAATTCCGGACTTCCAGCTCTATTACAAAGCTGTCATCATCAAGACAGTATGGTACTGGCACAAAAACAGACACATAGATCAATGGAACAGAATAGAGAGCCCAGAAATGGACCCTCAACTCTATGGTCAACTCATCTTTGACAAAGCAGGAAAGAATGTCCAATAGAAAAAAGTCTCTTCAACAAATGGTGTTGGGAAAATTGGACAGCCACATGCAGAAAAATGAAACTGGACCATTTCCTTACACCACACACAAAAATAGACTCAAAATGGATGAAAGACCTCAATGTGAGATAGGAATCCATCAAAATCCTAGAGGACAACACAGGCAACAACCTCTTCAACCTCAGCCGCAGCAACTTCTTCCTAGAAACATCGCCAAAGGCAAGGGAAGCAAGGGCAAAAATGAACTATTGGGACTTCATCAAAATAAAAAGCTTTTGCACAGCAAAGGAAACAGTCAACAAAACCAAAAGACAACCGACAGAATGGGAGAAGATATTTGCAAATGACATATCAGATAAAGGGCTAGTATCCAAAATCTAGAAAGAACTTACCAAACTCAACACCCAAAGAACAAATAATCCAATCAATAAATGGGCAGAAAATATGAACAGATATTTTTCCAAAGAAGACATCCAAATGGCCAACAGACACATGAAAAAGTGCTCAACATTGCTTGGCATCAGGGAAATCCAAATCAAAACCTCAATGAGATACCTCCTTACACAGTCAGAATGGCTAAAATTAACAAGTCAGGAAACAACAGATGTTGGGGAGGATGTGGAGAAAGGAGAACCCTCCTACACTGTTGGTGGGAATGCAAGCTGGTGCAGCCATTCTGGAAAACAGTATGGAGGTTCCTCAAATAGTTGAAAATAGATCTACTGTACAACCCAGCAATTACACTACTGGGTATTTACCCCAAAGATACAAATGTAGTGATCCAAAGGGGGCATGTGCACCCCAATGTTTATAACAGCAATGTCCACAATAGCCAAACTATGGAAAGAGCCTAGATGTCCATTGACAGATGAATGGCTAAAGAAGAAATGGTATATATATACAATGGAATATTATGCAGCCATCAAAAAAAAATGAAATCTTGCCCTTTGCAATTACATGGGTGGAACTAGAGGGTATTAATGATAAGTGGAATAAGTCAATCAGAGAAAAACATGTATCATATGATCTCACTGATATGAGGAATTCTTAATCTCACAAAACAAACTGAGTGTTGCTGGAGTGGTGGGGTGTGGGAGGAATATGGTGGCTGAGTGATAGACATTGGGGAGGGTATGTGCCATGGTGAGTGCTGTGAATTGTGTAAGACTGATGAATCACAGACCTGTACCTCTGAAGCAAATAATACATTATATGTTAAAAAAAGAAGAAGAAGAAGAAGAAGAAGAAGAAGATAGTAGGAAGGGAAAAATGAAGGGGTGGCGCAATCGGAGGGAGAGAGGAACCATGAGAGACTATGGACTCTGAGAAACAAACTGAGGGTTCTAGAGGGGACGGAGGTGGGGGGATGGGTTAGCCTGGTGATGGGTATTAAAGAGGGCACATATTGTCTGGAGCACTGGGTGTTATACGCAAACAATGAATAGTGGAACACTACATCAAAAACTAATGATGTAATGTATGGTGATTAACATAATAAAATTAAAAAAAAAAAAGAAGCAGCCCAGGTTAGCCCACTGGAAAATGAGAGACCATGTAGACAAAAATGAGCCACCTCAGCTGAAAGGCTCTAGACTATCCGACCTTCCAGCTCATAACATGCAAGTGAAATGATCCCAGACCATCCCCCTTCAGATGAGCTGCCCACTGCCTATAGAGATGAACAAAGCTGGCTCAGAACTGAACTGTGAGCAAATAAAATGATTATTCTTTCAGTCACAAAGTTTTGGGATGATCTGTCATGCAACAATGGATAACTGACATTACCGCCTTTTAGAGATGAATAAGAAATCATTTAATTTGTTTTAAATAATTTGTAAATTATAATCTCTGATATAGGAAGAGAATCTCACAGCAGGCAAACATTACATCCTCTATGACTTTAACCAGAAAAACATATTCCACTTAAGCATGTTATAGAGTGCATAGACTTATTCTAAATCATGACAATTAAGTATCTTGAATTTTAGTCATAGTTAATAGCCTGGATTAGTCTGAGTTGAGAGATAAGCGCTCTCACAAGTTTTTACCCTGTAGCTATACGTTTTTAAACTTTATAATTGTAATGGAGACATACAATCAGGTTTTTATCCAAATAGCATATTGATATTTAGCTACTTACCTTTTATTTTATTTTTGTTTACAATTCAATAGATGTTCTAAAAAACTACTTTGAGAAGGACACCGTGGACATTTCTCAAGAAATCTCGGATGGAAAGATTTCATAACAGGTATTAATATTACCACAAAATATTGAAAGAATTATTTTAAAGTACCGACCTCACAAGATAAACCTAGTTTTCTTAGGATAATTATGGACAAAGTTTATGAATTATTCATCTTTATATCACCCATAATTCCTCCAGTTTAGGAGTTACTTGGTATGTAATTGTTAAATGAGTAAGTGAATGGTTAATAGGCCAATTGCATTGTTTCAGGCTTTATTATATGTAGTTGTTGTACTTCAGGAGAAGTGATTTGATCCATGATATATCTGACTCAATATAATTAATGAGTCACTCATAACAAGGTTCTACTGGTATTGTACTCATAAATGAAACCACACTAATGTCTCTGAAAGAATCATCTCAACTAAGAGATCCCTCTACATGATGTTAGATTTATCAGGTTCAACTCAGCATCTAAAATGGATTGCATTCTTCTTTTAAAAGAGCAAAGAGCAAAATCAGCCAATCTAATTTCCACTTAGTTTGCAGATGTGTATATAGTTATTGATATATAAAATATATATTTATCTTTATATTTAGAGATACCAGTGCTGACAATTTCTATCTGAGTGAACAGGTGTGGCTGAAAAAACCTTTGCCTGACCAACTGTTCTTTCCACACTGTACACACATAAAAGCTATTCTATGGATGGCAGCTGTAACCCTATTTGCAGAACCCACAGCTATTTGTGACTCCACAATTTAAAGTCTTCCTCTGCCAGTTACCATTTTTCATATATAGCTAGACTTCTAACTGGTGCAAATAAAGATGCTCTGCCTATTATCACTTGGAATTCCAGGATTACACTGAGTCATATGAAGTTTTAGTTCGTGGGATCTTTACAGCTTTTCTTCCACTCACTCTGTGTTTGCTTGCCACCCTCCAGCTTGGCAAACAGCATCTATGTGAGTCTCCTATTGTCATACATTCTTCACACCTGCCCAGTCTCAAAGCCTCATGCTTCCGTCAGAATTACATAGACTGGTTAAGTTTAGGTCTTCCCTGTCTGACTTGCCTACTTAAAGTTAAACATCACTCACATCAGAGGAACTGATGAACCAATTCAAGAAATAATTTATTCATTTACTTAGTGCTTATTTATTGAAGCACCAGGCTGTTTTCAGTGCTGAGAATAAAGCAATAAACAGAGTCACTTCCACAACAGAGTTTTTATCACAGTGATGCACATTGCTCTTCCCACCACAGAGCAGAGATAGCCTCTCTTCTTTAGTATCATTTAGACAACTCTTTAACACCTAATAAGTGCTTAATACATGCTTATAAGACAGGTCAGAAAACCTCATTCTATGCTAGAGTCTGAATATATATGTATATTCATATATACATATGTATATATGTACACACACGCATACCCCTTATCTGCCAGTAAACCTTGGAGAACACTGGACTTCCGATTGATTCCCCTTTCCACTCCTGCTTCCTGGATCTCATGGATCTCCACACAGCCTAGGTAACAAAGATCATGACAGCTTTTAGATATCCTTTGCTAATCAAAATAAATAATTGGCTATCACTGTTTTCTCTTTTCAAGCTGGGATATGATTTTGATCTTCCCAGACTTATATGAAGTTTGTGGTCATATATTTATTCTGCCAAGATTTCCATATATTTTATTAGCATTTTTCCAGAGTGCCTCAACTGTATTCTAGGTGTGTAAATATGGGTTCATGACATGGATTTATCATGGAGTCTTGTATGGGGCTTGACATGCTGCCTCACCTTCCCTCCATGTTTTTCAAACACCAATATTCATCAACACACCCACATCAGATGGAGATAAGACACATAACAAGTGAGTAGTAAATATAAACACAAGTCTAGCATTCACTTACCTTCTTTCTGGACCCTATGGTCTCAAGCATCTTAGAAGTTTGTTGGCCAATTGGTTATTTATTCCCAAGACCATATTTTAGGAATCCCCAAAAGAGCTACTGACATATTCCTACTTTAAAAGTTCTTTGCAAATCCTACCTATACCCAACTTCTTGTTTCTTACTCAGTAAAAATTCTCCCCCCACCCAAAAGGTCTTGGTTATACTCCTAAAAGGCTAAACATTTTATTACCCAAGTTTCATCTCCCTTTGGACTTTTATAAATACCATGTTATTTCCCAGCTTTTGCCCTCTATTCAGTCTAAGACAAATTTAGAGTGGAGGGAAAGAAAACTAAAAAATGGCAAACTAATAAGCAACTAGTATACTCCTGGATAACTAAGAATAGGAATTGTGTGAATTGAGTTGTATCATGGTCTGGACAGTAGAATGCACATGAATATGTTTTTTAAAAAATTACTTGACCATGATCTCTAGTCCCTCAAGACTCAAACCATGGAACAATCACAAAACAAGCTTTTATTTTACATACTTCCTATGTTCACAGTAATATACTAGTCCTGTGAAAATGAAAAGATTATCCTCCCCTAAAGATCCTAAAATTTTAATGAAGAGAAAAAGTTAAATAATGAGATACATGGCCAATAAAATGACATTTCATACTATTTTAGCAAAATCACAAATATCATTAAAAAGGCAAAATCAATGGTTAATTGAATGGTACCACTAATTAGCACTAAAGGAATTTAAAGACAAGAAGGTCTTCAGCTCCCCAAAGTAGAACCTAGAAAACTGTTTTCCCAACTTCCCTTGAAGCTAGAGTATGGGCTCATGACCTAGGCCTCTCCAGTGCACCTCATATGAGACATGAGTTTGGAAGAGGTGGAGTGAATGAAAGACTACATATTAAATTGATGCTGGCACAATAGTGTCTCCTGCAACATTCAGAGCCCATAGCAAGCTGCCAGTGGGGTGGCGAAATACTGCATTTTGGAGACGATGAGCACAAGGCCGTCAAGCTTGACTCTCTGGCCATTACAGAGATTCTATGGCGTAAAATTTATCCTTTTGTAAATTTCTTATTCTGCTTAAAATAGTGCAGGTGGATTCTCTTGTTTGCAGCTACAAACCTTAACAGAGATGAAACTGGTGAAAGCAAAATATGCTTCTTGAATCAATATTTGTCTAGGAAGAAATATATATATTAGTAAAAATACAAGTTCAGATCAAGTTTTAGAAAACAAGGAAGAAAAGCGAGTGGCAAAAGGATACATAGAGAACATGATAAATTTAATATTATAGTGTAATATGCAAAAGGTGCTCATTCATATTTGACAGGAGGGTACATTCATCTGTGCCCAGCTGCATTCTACTCCTTTCTCTACACTTCTTTGTGCCCTGGGAGGCTGACTTTTGCCCTCTGCATCATTGCCCACCCCCACCACCCCCCACCTTCTGGATTTCAGTTGGATTCATTGAGGAGCTTCATGAGGCAGGAGTGTGAGATCAGAGAAGTCCATTCTCTTTGCTCCCTCCATGCAAGGTCTCATGAACTGAAGCCTACCTTGATCAAAGTGTTTGGTTCTGGTCAGGTAGCCTTATTCTCCCCATATCCTTTCTTTGATAACTTTTCTTAGCTTCGAAATGCAGGGATAGGAGTGGAACTCCAAAGCCACTAGTCCCAGAGTACTACTTAGGTTTCCTGCAGTCTATCACACCTCTGCCAAGAAGTGTCTTTATAAACTTTCTTCTATTTACCCATTTGAGTGTGCCATCACTTTTCTGCTGGGGCCCTGACTAATAAAGTATTATATATTATTTGGGTGTACATGTCTTATAAAACTATAAAAGACCTGCAGGGAAAAGAGAAACACAACATTCTGAAAAGTGGTTAACCCCAGGGGATGGGAAGAGAGGGAGAGTAATTACAGTGGGGATTGGTAAATAGGAGACACAGAGATAGCAACTATATGTGTAATATATATCATATAAAGGCTTTATTCTTAAGCTGGGTCATGAGATCATGAATGTTTTCTATAGCATTCTTTATGACTTTTATGTTAAAGTCCATAATTTAACAACAATTCTTCACTCTCTTAAGAATATCTTTCAGTGACTAAAAGTCTTAATTTAAATATAATTTAATTTAGCAAGCTTTTCTTTTTTTGGTTTGGGCTTTTTACATCCTATTTAAGAAATCTTTACCAAAATGGCAACATAGGAAATGCTGGCCCTTGTTCCCCTCCATAAAGAAAAACAATTATATAAGCTATCCATAAACAGAAACTCGGGGTGCCTGGGTGGCTCAGTTGGTTAAGCGACTGCATTCGGCTCAGGTCATGATCCTGGAGTCCCGGGATCGAGTCCCGCATCGGGCTCCCTGCTCGGCAGGGAGTCTGCTTCTCCCTCTGACCCTCCTCCCTCTCATGCTCTCTGTCTTTCATTCTCTCTCTCTCGAATAAATAAATAAAATCTTTAAAAAAAAAAAACAAAAACAGAAACTCATAGAAACAGGGAGTAGAATGGTGATTTCCAGAGGCTGGGTGGTGGGGGTGGAAATGCGAAGATGTTGGTCAAAGGGTACAAACTTCCAGTTTTGAGATGAATAAGTTCTGAGGATGGAATGTACAGCATGGTGATTATAGTTAATAATATTGTATTATATACTTGAAAGTTTCTAAGAGTAAATCTTTAATATTGTTACCACAAAAAAAAATGATAATCATGAAAGTGATAAAGGTGTTAACTAATACTACAGTGGTAATCATATCTCAATATATAAGTGTATCAAATCAATACCTTAAACTTATACACTGTCATATGCCAATTATATCTCAATTAATCTGGGGGGATCTTTGCCTATTTAAGAATATCTTAGTCATTAAAATATGCTCTGTGTTATTTTCTAGAAGCTTTATCAGGTTACCTCTCTCATTTAGGTCTACAGTCTATTTGGAATTAATTTATTTTTTGTATGGTGTTATGCTTTCTATAGTTAACATAATTGTGGCATTTTCATGGCTAATATTGTGTTTAGGACTTTTGCCTTTACATTCATACTGACATTAGCTTGTTGATCTTTATTTTGTAATGGCCTGATAATTGGCTATTGGTATATTTCTTCCTTAAATATCTGGAGCATTCACTGGGCCTGGATATTTCTTTCCAGAAAGGTCTTAAATTAGAGATTCCATTTCTTTTTTTTTTTAAGATTTTATTTATTTATTTGACAGAGAGAGACACAGTGAGAGAGGGAACACAAGCAGGGGGAGTGGGAGAGGGAGAAGCAGGTTTCCCGCTGAGCAGGGAGCCCCATGCAGGGCTCGATCCCAGGACCCTGGGATCATGACCTGGGCTGAAGGCAGACGCTTAACTACTGAGCCACCCAGGTGCCCCAGAGATTCCATTTCTTTATTTTTTAAAGATTTTATTTATTTATTTGACAGAGACACAGTGAGAGAGGGAACACAAGCAGGTGGAGTGGGAGAGGGAGAAGCAGGTTTCCCGCTGAGCAGGGAGCCCAATGCGGGGCTCCATCCCAGGACCCCAGGATCATGACCTGAGCCGAAGGCAGACACTTAAAGACTAAGCCACCCAGGTGCCCCAGAGATTCCATTTCTTGACTAGAACTATTCATACTTCCTTTTCTTGCATCAGTACTACTTAGGTAAAGATAAATATTTACTTTTTTTCCATTTGGATATCCAATCTATCTTGTGCCATACGTTAAAAAGGCTTTTCTTCCCATCTCTGCCACTCCTGCTGCCCTAGGAGCAAATTTAATATAAATTATCATATATTTGTGGTAAGCTTTGGACTCTTTATTCTATTCTTCACCTTGTATGTATCTTGGCATCAATATCTCACTGTTTTATTCTTTTTGTTTTGTTTTGTTTTGTTTTTTTTTAGTGTTCAGCAATTTATCAGTTGTGTGTAACACCCAGTGCTCATAACATCATATTCCCTCCTTAATGCCCATCATCAATTACCCCATCCCCCCACCCACCTCCCCTCTAGCACCCCTCAGTTTGTTTCCTATAGTTAAGAGTCTCTCACGGTTTTTCTCCCTCTTTGATGACTTCCCATTCAGTTGTCCCTCCCTTCCCCTATGATCCTCTGTGCTGTTTCCCATATTCCACATATGAATGAAACTATACGATAATTGTCTTTCTCTGATTGACTTATTTCATTCAGCATGATACCCTCCAGTTCCCTCCAGGTTAATGCAAATGGTAAATATTCATCCTTTCTGATGGCTGAATAATATTCCATTGTATATGTACATACCACATCTTCTTTATCAATTCATCTGTCAGTGGGCATCTCAGCTCTTTCCACAGTTTGGCTATAGAGAACACAGGCAGTAACCTCTTCGACCTCAGCTACAGCAACTTCTTGCTAGACATGTCTCTACAGGCAAGGGAAACAAAACCAAAAATGAACTATTGCGACTTCATCAAGATAAAAACTTCTGCACAGCAAAGGAAACAATCAACAAAACTAAAAGTCAACCTACAGAGTGGGAAAAGATATTTGCAAATGACTTATCAGATAAAGGGCTAGTATCCAAGATCTATAAAGAACTTATCAAACTCAACACCCAAAAACAAATAATCCAGTCAAGAAGTGGGCAGAAGACATGAACAGACATTTTTCCAAAGAAGACATATAAATGGCCAACACATGAAAAAAATGCTCCACATCACTTGGCATCAGGGAAATACAAATCAAAACCACAATGAGATATCACTTTACACCAGTCAGAATGGCTAACGTTAACAAGATGGGAAACAACAAATGTTGGTAAGGTGGTGGAGAAAGGGGAACCCTCTTACACTGTTGGTGGGAATGCAAGCTGGTGCAGCCACTCTAGAAAACAGTATGGAGGTTCCTCAGAAAGTTGAAAATAGAGCTACCCTACGACCCAGCAATTGCACTACTGGGTATTTATCCCAAAGATACAAATGTAGTGATCCAAAGGGACACATGCACCCCGCTGTTCATAGCAGCAATGTCCACAATAGCCAAAATATCTATTTTAATTACTGTGGCTTTATAGTAAGTCTTAATACCTCATGTAAGGCCTCCATACTTCTTTTCAGATTATCCTGGCTATTCTTGACCATATTCCCACATAAATAGAAAATCACCTTTTCAGAGTTTCCAGGACAAAAAACCTTTTTTTTAACTTTTTGATTGAAATTACATTGTACTTGCATTATAGCTACGGACAGATTTGGAAAGAAATGATATCTTTACAATATTGAGTCTTCCAATTAATGAATATACAAAATCTCTCCATTTATTTAGTTATTTAACTTATCTCAGTGATGTTTTATAGTTTTGTGTGGAGATTTTTTTTCATCTTTGGTTAGATTTATTCCTGGGTATTTGTTGATGTTATTGTCCATAGCATTGTTGTGTGGTTTTTTTTTTTTTTAATTTTCTTTTCTTTCTTTTTTTTTTTAAGTTTATTTAATTAAGCAATCTCTATCCCCAATGTGGGGCTGGAACTCACAACTCAGAGATCAAGAGCAACATGCTCTACTAACTGTGCCAGCCAGGCACCCCTAAATTTTATTTTCTAATTATTATTATTTTTTTATTTAAATTAAATTAGCCAAGGTATAGTACATTGTTAGTTTTTGATATAATGTTCAATGATTCATTAGTTGAGTATAACACCCCGTGCTCTCATATCACGTGCCCTATTGAATGCCCATCACCCAGTTACCCCATTTTCTAATTATTAGTTTCTAGTATATAGAAATAAAATTTATTTTATATTAACCCTATTATGTCCAGTTATTTCACTAAATTCATTTATTAATTCCAATAATTTATGTGCACATTCTTTTAAATTTTCTATACCAATAATTATTTTGTTTATGAATAATGACAGTTTCTTTCTTTTTTCCCAGGGTGTATGATTTTTTTGCTTGCCTTGTTTCACTGTCTAGGACCTCTGGTGCAATATTGAATAGAAGTAGTGGTAGCAAATATCTTTGTCTCTTATCTTAAGGATATAAATTTAAATATTTCATGACTAAGTATTATGTTTCCTGTAGGATTTTTTTGTACATACATATTTTTCAGATTGAGGAATTCCTTTTCCTGTACCTATTATTTTTCAGATTGAAGAATTCCCTATTATGGTAGGAATTTTTACCATAAACAAGTATTGACATTTAGAAAATACTTTTACTGCATCTATTGAGATAAACCTATGGCCTTTTTTTCTCCTTTATTCTGTAAATGTGATGGATTAAATTGACTGGTTTTTGAGCATCAAAAACATTTTCCATTCCTCCTTCCTGGAATAATCCAACTTGGTTATTTTCTTAGCTTGATTTCCCTCCCTCACCCACACTCCCACCCCCAAACACACAGACACAGACACATATACACACAGAGCTGGCCCAGAGACAAAGATTTGGTTGCAAGTAGTTTATTGAAGAGTTGAAGAAAACTCTGATAAGGGAGTGGAGAAGGGAGACAGGGAAGAAAAGGAAGCCAGAAAGGGTGAATTATCAAGCCAGTGGCCATGGTCGGTGACTGGAGCTGAAGCCTACCAAGAAACTCTGGGAAATGGCATAGGCACATATGTCAGAGTTATCCTACCTGAGAGATGAGGGAATTGGAATATTTATAAGCCAACCCTCACCCATCAATCAATCATTTGTTGAAAACTGCTTCTGGAAAGTGTTAATTCTCTGGTATCTGTGGCCTCCGTGCATGTGGTCCAGAGAAAGCCCTCAGGCAAGAAATGAATATGCTGAAAGGTAACATTGACCCTCCACAGGCCACATCTGCAACACTGGTGACATGCCATCCTTTTAACATATTGTGGGATTCTCTTTGCTAATACTGTGTTTGGGAATTTTGCTGTTATGTTTATGAGTGACGTTGACCTATTGATCCTCTTTTTGTAATCACCTGATAATTTGTCATTGGCAATATCTCTTCCTTAAATATCTGGAGCATTTGCTGGGTCTGGATATTTCTTTCTGAGAAGACTTTTTAAAAAGGATTTCAGGGGCACCTGGGTGGCTCAGTCGGTTAAGCGACTGCCTTCGGCTCAGGTCATGATCCTGGAGTCCCGGGATCGAGTCCCACATCGGGCTCCCTGCTCGGCGGGGAGCCTGCTTCTCCCTCTGACCCTCCCCCCTCTCATGAGCTCTCTCTCTCTCTCATTCTGTCTCAAATAAACAAATAAAATCTTTAAAAAATAAAAATAAAAAGGATTTCATTTCCTAAATAGAATTATTCATCTTGTTTTCTTGCATTGGTTTTAATAAGTTATAGGGGGGTTTGGGGGTTTTTGTTAAAGATTTTATTTATTTATTTGAGACAGAGAGAGAGCATGAGCAGGGAAAGGGGCAGAGGGAGAAGCAGACTCCCACTGAGTTGGGAGCTGAACATGGGGCCTGATCCCAGGACCCCGGGACCATAACCTGAGCTAAAGACAGATGCTTAACTGACTGAGCCCCTCAGGTGCCCCAAGAAGTTATAGTTTTTTGGAGTTTTTTTAAAGATTTTATTTATTTATTTATTTGACAGAGAGAGAAAGAGAGCACAAAGCAGGAGGAGCAGCAGAGGGAGAGGGAGAAGCAGGCTCCCCACTGGGCAGAGAGCCCCAAGCAGGGCTCAATCCAAGGACCCTGAGATCAGGACCTGGGACGAAGGCAGACACTTAACCGACTGAGCCACCCACATGCCCCAATAAGTTATAGTTTTAAAGGTGCTTATTTTTTCATGTGTCTGTTAGCCATTTGTATGTCTTCTTTGGAGAAGTGTCTGTTCATGTCTTCTGCCCATTTTTTGACTGGGTTATTAGTTTTTGTTTTGTTTTTTGGGTTTTTTTTTTAAAGATTTTATTTATTTATTTGAGAGAGAGAGAGAATGAGAGAGAGCACATGAGAGGGGGGAAGGTCAGAGGGAGAAGCAGACTCCCTGCCGAGCAGGGAGCCCGATGCGGGACTTGATCCAGGGACTCCAGGATCATGACCTGAGCCGAAGGCAGTCTCTTAACCAACTGAGCCACCCAGGCGCCCTGGGTTATTAGTTTTTTGAGTGTTAAGTTTGAGAAGTTCTTTATAGATCTTGGATATCAGCCCTTTATTTGTAATGTCATTTGCAAATATCTTCTTCCATTCCGTGGGCTGTCTCTTAGTTTTGTTGACTGTTTCCTTTGCTGTGCAGAAGCTTTTTATCTTGATGAAGTCCCAAAAGTTCATTTTTGCTTTTGTTTCACTTGCACTTGGAGATGTATCTTGAAAGAAGTTACTGTGGCCAATGTTGACCTATGTTCTCCTCTAGGATTTTGATGGATTCCTTGTCTCACATTGAGGTCTTTCATCCACTTTGAGTTTATCTTTGTGTATGGTGTAAGGGAATGGTCCAGTTTCATTCTTCTATATGTAGCTGTCCAGTTTTCCCAGCACCACTTATTGAAGAGACTGTCTTTTCCATTGGATATTTTTTCCTGATTTGTCAAAGATTAGTTGACCATAGAGTTGAGGGTCCATTTCTGGAGTCTCTGTTCTGTTCCATTAGTCTATTATTATTCAGCCATCAGAAATTATGAATACCCATCATTTGCATCGACATGGATGGAACTGGAGGGGATTATGTTAAGTGAAGTAAGTCAAGCGGACAAAGACAATTATCATATGGTTTCACTCATATATGGAACATAAGCAATAGCACAGAGGACCATAGGGGAAGGGAGGGAAATCCAAAGGGGGAGAAATCAGAGAAGGAGATGACCCGTGAGAGACTATGGACCCCAGGAAACAATCTGAGGGTTCCAGAGGGGAGGAGGGTGGGGGAAGGGGAGGGCACATGTTGTGATGAGCATTGGGTGTTATACTTAACTAATGAATCATTGCACACTACATCAAAAACTAATTATGTACTATACAGTGGCTAACTGAACATAATAAAAATAAATTAATTAATTTTTAAAAAGATATACTTTTGAACTTAAAATAAAAGGTGCTTATTTATTCTGAATTTTAAATATATTGTCATGAAATTTTGTCTGCAGTATCCATATTGATGCAAGAAAATATTTTTATCTTCTTAAACAAAACACTAGACATCTCTGAGACACCTGGGTTGCTCAGTCAGTTAAGCATCTGCCTTTGGCTCAGGCCATGACCCAGGATCCTGGGATCGAGTCCCACATCTGGCTCCTTGCTCAGCAGGGAGCCTGCTTCTCCCTATGCCTGCTGCAGCCCCTGTTTGTGCACTCTCTCTCTCTCTGACAAATAAATAAATAAAAATTTAAAAAAAAAGAACACTAGACATCTCTGAAATGGGTAACTTCAGGGCCGGCCCAAGATTAAATATTAGCCTTATAACTTAAGAAAGCAAAGATCTGCCCCAAAGTGAATATCTGCCTCCAT